ATATATATATCTCGTCACAAAATATATATATAGATATAGATATAGATATAGATATAGATATATATGAGTCGGTGAAACTCCGACGAAACAGTTTGTCACAGCCCCTCGTTTGTTGTCCTCTTCTCTCTCTCTGCCTACGGTTTACCGGGCAGTTCTGTCTGTGACGATATATATATATATATTTAAACATCTTCTGGGGGTGCTAGTAGCGGTGGTATGATATGCTAGCACAACCCTGTATTGATGTCTCCGGTCTATTGGTGGGGAGTAGCACCTGCTGGAAAGCGGGTCCAGCAACCCCTTTTGATTACATTGTCTGTGACAAGACACAATTGTTTTTGGAACTTGATGGCCTTTGAGCTGTTTTCTGTTACGTGGTATAAACTGATAGGCAGGTGTGCTTTTGGCTTTGCTGACCAACTATGGAGTTGGTGGCAGCCTATGTTTGTTTCCAGTCATGTTTTGGCACTGGTGCATGTTCGTACACAAGGATCATGTTTGACAGTCTTTGACGTGTTATTGCCAGATTATCTTGCAGCACGTGATGGAATGACAACCAGGAGAAGGATGATTCGTCTGTTTGAACATGAGCTTATTTTGCATAGGACTAGTTTCGCTGTTGGTTCTGCCAGTCTAATGCTGTCACCCTGTAGTTTTGGACATTGTTCAATGTACTTATGCCGTAACTGTGTCTAGATGTGTGTGTTGTTGCTGGATGGAGAATATAGCCTGCTTTGAGACATAGTTTTCCTGTTGGTGCTCCCAGTCTAATACTGTCCTGTAGTGTTTGGCACTGTTCCGTGTACTTATGGAGAAAGTGGGTCTGGGTGTGTGTTGTTGTCGGAATACCTTGCAGCCTCCTAAAATGGAGAAGGGTGAATCATCTGGTCTGGACCACGAGCTTGTTGTCCCAGGCAGCGGATTGACACCATCGGGAACTGGGGGGCCAGACTCAGTGAAGGATGCATGGAAGGTTCTCCCGGACGTTTGGGAAGTGGCTGCAAGTGCATATGGCGATGATGTGGCCATTTTGGATCCTCACTTCAATCCGCCTACACAGTTCACTTTTAAGGAGGCAAGTGCATTGCTTAATTCCTTTGCAGCTTCTTGCCCTTCCTTTGCCGAGGGTCTCCTCTGTAGGATGTCAGTCGCATGGTCCTTGTCCATGTTAACCTCTTCATTTTATAGCGAAAACATCGCAGGACAAGGGCTCGATTCCGGGGTGATAAGGGAACCCTCCAAATTGAGGCCTCGTCTTTCTTGAGGGCTCTGCATGGCGCACTGCTAGTGGAGCCCGCCCCAGAGTCACCCCAAGGCCAGAGTCTAACGTCTTATATATTCCAGTCTTCATATGCTGCACGCACCCACTCACGCATATATCCTCATATTCATACGTATCTATCTTTCATACTTACATCTCCTTCGGATTTTGTATAAGATGACTGAGAACACTAAAAATAACACTCCCCAGAATGGACAAGACCCTTAAGGTTCTGCATTGTTTTATTTTTTTTGTCAAACATGGTTGAGAACATTGAACATTGTTACTACTGCCTGCCTGCGAATAGAATATACGGTCATTATAAATGCATTTGGGCAACTTTCAGTCTAGGTACAACCATAATGGTCGTATGTTCTATTCGGGGGAAGACAGTAGCAAACAGAAAATTATCAGGAGGGTGGGAATATACAGTGTAATCACATGGCTTGTTACACATCACGAGATGTTTATTGCTACCATCTTCACCTGAATAGAACGCTTGGTCATTATGGTTGTATTTGGGGCAACATCCAGTCTGTATATACTTGTAACAACTATAATGACCAGACTCTCTATTCAGGTGAAGATGGCAGTGTTATGTACCCGATTGAGCTTCAATCCACAACGAATTCACACGTTCCAATTCACACATGCAATTGTAGAGTAACTCGAAGGAGGCAAATTCACACCAAACCGGAGAGAAGATATGCACATCCTTTTCAACCATTTCGATGATTCGATCTGATGGTACCCGGATTTCAGATCAATTTTTCTGATGACTTTGCAGCCTTGCACCATATCAAGTAAGTCATCGATCCTAGGCAAGGGCTCTGAGCTCTTCCTAGTGATCTTGTTCAGACCTTTGTAGTCAATGCACATTCTGAGTTCATCATTTCCCTTTGGTACAAAGAGAGCTGGTGCCCCATACTTGGATGAACTAGGCCTGATCCATACTTTCTCAGTTAAGGATTCCAGTTGTTTCCTTAACTTCTCCAACTCGGCAGGTGACATCCTGTAGACTCTTCTCTTAGGAAGGGTAGAGTCAGGCAACAACTGAATGTGGTGTTTGGTTTGCCTATGGACAAGTCCAGTAGGCTCCTGAGTCAAATCAGAAAACTCATCAACCACCTGTTGGATGGAGACATCAATTTGATAAGAGGATGGGTTTGAATCTGTTTCGGTGACATAAACCACAAACAGATTCTCATGGTCTGTTTCCTAAGACAAATTGTAAAATTGCCCGGCTTTCAAACAATAACAACTGCTAAGACACATTGTCTCAGCTCAGCCTGAGGGTTCTTCAATTGAATGTTGGACAAGGCCCAACCAATTGAAGTGTTGTGGAGAGAGCGAGAGGGCAGCTTTGAAGATTCCCTCCTTACTCCTTTAAGATATTTTAGATTTTTCTGGAAATTCTGTGGAATCTTTCATCAATTGACAGATGGTTTTCTCAAGGTTGTCCTTAGGGGGGTGTCCCATGTGGGGAGGGTTGGGATGGAGGTCGGGGGAACCACCGTTTGGCGAGGACAAATTTTTGGTGGGAATTGCTTGTTCTTGAGGGAGTGGGGGGTTCGCTAGGGGGCTTGTCCTGAGCTGGGGTCAATGAGGAGAAGGGGCCACCTCTCGACGGGGGCAACTCAAGGACAGAGGGAGGGGTTTTCTGATAAGAGTGAGGGCAATTCTATTTCTCATCACGACGGAGAGGTGCTGTCCTCCCCTTTCCCCTCCGTGTCGTGGAGAGAGTGGTCTCATAGCTTGTTCAAAAAAAGGTTTTCTGATGAGGAGCTGGTTTTAACAGGCTGGCAGTTTATTCAGGTTTTCTCAAACTCCTTAGTTTGTTCTCAGATTCTCTCAGGTGAAGCTGGGTATTGGTCCCGATATTTGAGTGCTGGTAATTTCATATGGGACGCTGGGCCCGGTTCCCAGCATGTGCTGCTCCGCATGAATAGATTGGAGCTTTTGTCCCCAAAGAAAAAAAATAAATAAAAAAAAATTGAAGGGTTAGTAGCCTGTAGCCATTTCAAACTTAGAACCATGCCAAAGGGAAGGTAAGGAAAAATATAAAAGTTCAAGGATTGTTTAATTTCCCCATTTTTGTCAAAGGTAACTGGGACACCTCTGACCACTTGCTTGACTGAGTTAGACTGGGAATTTCCAACTTGAATCTCCAGTGGATGCTCAAGGTCTGCAACCTTTCGACCAGGTGGCGTTGGGGAGAGATGAAATTCCTAGTCGCCCCACAGTGAAGAAGAGCTTTGATCCTGGTTCTGTTGATCTGAGGCTTGAGCATGATCAATTCAGATTTCTTGCTCTTCTTCTTTTTCAGTTGAAGATGACGTGAACAAAGTTGACCATGTGCTGCCTCTGACAAGCGCTCATCAATAAAGGGCTCGGTGTATGAAAACAAGGATTCCTTTGCGGCCTCACGCAGTTCAGGCTCGCTTGCTGATTCATCCTTTGGAAGAGATGAATTCAGTACAGAAGGGCTGGCTGTTGCCATCGCTGGCCTGAGTAGTTTTTTGAGCTGCAGCTACTGCACCAGGAAGGACAATCCTTAATATAGTGATTGCCCTCACACCTTATGCAAACTCCCTTCTCCTTCACCTTTTGCCATAAACCTTCTGGGATTCTCAGATCCCTCCATGGCAAAGTGGTAGGATCCATGGGACAACTTTGGCACTTGGTAAACTTAGGGAGATTTGGCTTCTGAGGACCATTGAGGCGTTTGCCAGACTCCTTTGAACCAGCAGGCTTTTGTCCCTGGAACTAGTTGCCTTTTGTGAAGGCCATCAGTGTCTGGGCCAGCTATAGAGCAGCCTGGTCTAATGATGACCTTGCCTCATGACCAGCTGGGGGAGTAGATCCCCCTTGGCTATGGCAAGTAGAGTCATCATCTGAGCCCATAGTATACATACTCCCCTTTCCTTTCCTCCTACTCTTGTGGGAACTGGACTGGACTTGGAGTGTGGCCTCCATGTTCAGTGCTGCTATACCAAAAGTCCTCCTGTCCTTGTGTCCTGCAGTGAATAGGGCTACTGTATATCTCTCTGGGGCTGCTTCTACAAAATAAGTCAATTTATAAGTCTCAAGCATTGTCATTCCAGGAGTGGAAGTGAGGCGCTCGAATGCTGCATAGGGCTTGGCCAAGGTTCCACACCATTTTCTCTGACCAATCAACACCAGCTCGTCTGTAGCCTTACTCGCTTTCTCTTTGTCAACAAACCTTTCTTGGAGGCCCTAAAAGAGGTCATCCAACCCCACTGTAACAACAGAGTCGGATAACTCCTGTTGAGACTTTGTTGCCTCAGACGCTGCCCACTTCAGTGCATGGCCTCCTAAAAGGGCCAAAAAGGCCCACTGTGGACTGTAATTTGCTTTCCTCTTGACAAATGAAGCTCCTTAAATAGGACTTCGTTGAAGCTGCCCAGTCTGTCACGTCCACTTTGGGGTCATCCCCAGTGAACTTGTCAGGATGAGGTATCTTTGGGTACCTGGGTTCCGCTCTAGTTGAAACCAGCGGTAAAGGTATCGAGGAAACAGATAACGACGTCTCAACACGCAGGTTCTGCACCTTTGGGGGTGTAGATGGCCTGCCCTTAGGAGGACTGGCTGGAGTTGTTGCAGTGGAGGAGGATGCAACATAGGTTGAGGAATGAGGAGGAGGAGGTGGTGGAGGTATAGATTGGGGAAACTGTTGAAAGAATGCAGTCGTGAGACGGTCAACTGACCAGTGAGGGAGGTCATTTTGCCCTCTAACAAGGACAATCTGTCCTCCACTCCATTGAACCGCTCATCCCAGGATGTGAATACATCCTTGGCATGATCGAATTCCAATCTGATCCAGGTGGCCATCCTGCAATCGGTTTCCTTAAACTTTCAATCCACTTCTTCACTTGCAAAATGTTCAAACATCTCGTAGAGAACTGCAAACTCTCGGTTTTTTGGGGGCAGCTTCTGATTTGGTCCCTTGTTAGGGAGTCGATCATTTTCAGAGGTCCCCAACCTTTATGCAGTGCATTTGGTATGCATCCGGTAGAAGTGTGTACACTATTATTATATGCACTTGCAATCTTGGGTAGGTTCTCATCCCAATCAATCTGATCAGGTCGTACATAAATACGTAGGAGTTGTTGGCACAACTTGTTCATTTGTTCAGTTTGGTCGTTAGTCTCAGGATGTCGTCCTGAAGACACAGTCAATTTGGTGCCGTAAGCTTCCATCAAATTTTGCCAAGATTTTCCAGTGAATCTCACAACTCTGTCAGATACAATGGTTGTGGGAAACCCATATTCAGAAACCCATCGCATATGGAATTTATGAATGGCAAGTTCAGTTCTTGCTTCGGGTGGTAAGGCCACAAACATCGCATACTTAGAGAATCGATCCACGATTACCATTACCTGACTGTTTCCATTTTGACTCTTCGTTAAGCTCATGAAGTCAATGGAAATAGACTCACCGGGCCTTTCGAGAATCGGTAGTGGTCTTAGTTGTCCCAAGGGACTCTCGTGGGATTGCTTGTTCCGCTGGCACACAAGGCAAGTTCTCACGTATGTCAGTGTGTCGTTTTCATTCCTTGCCAAACAAATGTTCTCAAACATTGGCAAAAGTTTTTTTGAACCCGAAGTGCCACTTTGTATCATGGCATTCACCAAGAATTTGACTCTTTGTAGATTCATTGTGCGGAACACAAATTCTCTGTTCCTTCCTATCAATGAAGAAAAATATTTCATTTGCCATTCAGTACTCAGGGAAACGCTCAGGATTAGATTTCAGGTTCTCTATAATAGGTTGCCAAATTGGGCCAGTGGCAT